ATGAACATTTTTCTAAGATAAAAAGATGTAAGAAGAAAGAAATCTAAATAGTTTTATCTAAGAACTCAAAGTAGTTAAGACTTCTCTCTGTCTCTGTCTGTCTCTCTCTTTTCCTTTCCCTCCCTCCCTCCCTTCCTCCTTCCCTCCCTCTTTCTTCCTTGCTTCCTTTTTCTTCCTTCTTTCCTTCATTTCTCTTTCTTTCTTTCTTTCTTTCTTTCTTTCTTTCTTTCTTTCTTTCTTTCCTTCTTTCTCTCTTTCTTTCCCTTTCCCTCTTTGGCTGTTGATGACTTATGCAGTTAAATCTACCAATGTTAAGTTAGAAATAGGCCAGTCTAGACGCACAATGGCTCATCAGGTACAGGCACTTTCTGCCAGGCAACTTGAGTTCAATCTCCAAGTCCCACAAGATAGAATGACGGAACTGACTCTTGAAAGTGTCCTCTGATTTTGACACATATGACATGACATATTCATGCATGCATTGGCACAGACATACAGACACACACACACACACACACTTAACAATAAATAAAATTTAATTTAGTTTGAGATAGTGATGGTTTTTATGAATTTTCCCAGAAACTTTCAAAAGAAGTAATAGTCCTCAATTCAGTCAAAAGTTTAAGAAATCTTGACACCAAAATCTGATAAGAAAATGTGTAAATCAACTTCACTTACAAACCTACATGCAGAATCCTTAAACCTGATCACACACACACCCAAGACTAAAATATTTATTACAAAAATTCTAGCTAGGATTAATATTTGAAAATGTAACCTGTAACAATCACAGTATAAAGAGGATAACTGATACTAGTCTTTCTGCAGTAACAGGAAAATTAACTACTCAAAACCAATATATATTTGTGGCCTTTTAAAAATCTGTAGGCATAGGAGAAGCAAGAGCTAGGTACAACAGAACATATCTGTAATACCAACACTTGGGAAATTGGGGAAGAGGGATTTCAAGTTCAATGCTAAACTGTGATACACTGTGAGACCCTACCTCAATTAGTTATACAAGATTATTTTATGAGAAAAAGCATTAATAGAAAGCAAACAAACAAACAAAAAACAGTGCTGGAGAGAAAGCTCAGCATCTAAGAGCATGTACTACCCTTATAGAGAACGGAAGTTTGATTCCTAGCACCCACATTGGTTGGCTCCAAACTGCCTGTAAGAGCTTGAGGGGATGCCCTCTTCTGGTCACCTCAAACACTGCACACACATACATAAATAATACACAAACAATAAGCACATAAACAATAAAATAAATATTTTTAAAATAAAGTATCATTTTTACTTAATGAAAATACTAAAAGATTCCCCTTTAATCATTTGAAGAGAAAAATAAACCGAGAATGGAGTTCTTTTCAAATGCAGGAGAGACAATGCACCAAGAAAAAAGGAAAAGGATGCATAATAAAGAGTTAGCTAAAATTGTCGGTGTTTGAATACGCTATTATCTTGGTGACAGAAATTCTAAAAGAATATTTAAGATGATCAGAATTTTAAAAATTATTTAGCAAGGTTGCTGGATAGAAGGGTAATATACAATAATCAAGTGTGTGTTTGTATAATGTTGACAGAGTTCATATATGAATTATTTTTTAGGTTATGGTAACACTCAACAGTGTCAGCAAATAAAAATTATTTCCTGGTATTTTATGTCTGTTGACACCCCTGTGGATAATCTATGCTCAATCTTGACTGTGTATTCACTTCAGTCTCCATCTGTCCATGCATTTTCCTTGCTGCTTCTTCTTTGTGATAGTGAAAACATTATTCTGAAGATTAATTATACAAGTGCAGTGGGTCGAGAAAGTAAAATATTATTAAATAACAGCAAAAGATGGAAGATCGTGTCTTTAAACTACAGGACAATACGTGTGAGAACAGCCCAGCCATCAAATCAAGCAAGGGCACTGAAGAACAGAGGGAGCAGAGAGCCTTCTCTGTAAGTGGAGCTGGAACATTTGGATATGGCTAGTGTGCTTTGGGGAGTTACATCCTTCATCTGTCTGCCGTTGTGGTACACCTGCCTGTGCTAAGACTCATTTCAGGTGTCTTTCATGCCTGAAAAGGACAAGTGTCTCCATAAGGCTTCCATTTGGCAATGTGATGTGCTGGTTCTATGGCCTAAGGGCAAAAGAGGAATTCCTTGAAAGGGCATGAAATTACTGTCCATGGAGAAACAAAGGCTACCCACTTCTACTCATCCAAGATGGAACTGAGAAGGGGTAAGACTAAGCAGAAGCAGGTAGTTAATAAGATTCTGCAGAGTGGCAGAGGGCTCTGCTCAAAAGTTGAAAGCTCTTACACACCATAAAAGATGGATGTCCCAATTTAATACTAATTAGTGAGAAAGGTACTTGGAAAGAGGGAAATTTTCAATGGCCATACGAAAATGATCAGCTTTATTGGTTGTGATGGTTAGCTTTAACTGTCAACACACAGAGGCTAGACTCACTTGAGAAGAGAGACTCATTAAGGAGTGTCTGTTTGGGGTTGGTGATGTCTTCCTTTAGCTAATTGACATGGGGTTAGTCCCACCGTGGGTGGCACCATTCCCAAGACAGGGTTCTTGGGCTGGATAAGAATGAAGCTAGCCTGAGGAAGAAAAGAAACAGACATCACAGGTGCATTCTTTTCCTCTCAGCTTGTAGCCTTGGTTGTAGTGTGACCAGCTGCTTCAAGTTGTTGACTTCCCCTCAGTAATGGACCTTGACCTGGAATTGTAAGCAAAATGAACCCCTTTCTCCCGTGAATTGCATTTGATCAGAGTGTTTAATCACAGCAATGGAGATTAAACTAGAACAATATACACTTATGTTCATATATGTGTATGTATAGGCACATACATAAGTCCATTATATAAAAGTTCAAAACTAGATAAAATTAATCAAGAATATCAGATAGGGTCAATAGGCATAACTTCCAGCTGGAAGGGTGTGTGTGTAATGACACAGTGACCACAAGGGACCTCTAGGTGCCAGGGATATTTGATTGCCCAGTGTGGGTGACCATTTCACGGGCATTCGCTTTATGCTAATTTATGAAACTATATAAAGTATAGTATTTTGCACATATTTCTGTATGAATGCTGAACTTCAGCAAAAAAATAAATGTTTCTAAGGAAAAATAAAGCGTAAATGTCCACAGGCCATTAGAAACAGTTTAAGCCCCGGACAATCCAAGTAGATTGAGAAGAAAAGGTCAGTGAGACTTTGTGAGCAGAGGAAAATTAACAAAAATATGAGAGCTGTTCAAATAGCAAATTCACAGAAAATGAAACTCCTTTTTTTTTTCTCCCACAAAGTCAACACTCAGCTTCCTTTCTTTCCCCCTTTCTTTTTCAAGTCTTTTCAAATCTGAGAGGCAGACTGCCTGCTTTGCCAGTTTCTGCACTGAAACTGGCTCCCCTCAGCCCACACCCCTCCCCCACTGCAAGGTAAACTAGTTTCAGCTGAGGGAAGGCTTGGATCACAGGCTACTCCCTGTCTCCTGCCTTTCTCTGTGACTGACTCTCCTGTTGTTTAACACTCACTGTGTTGGTCATCAGAATGCCAAGAGCCAGCGCAACCGAAAGATGTGTGGCTTAGCATCACAGGCCTGGCAATGGGTACTTGATTACCTGACATTTCTGGGCCTCAACTTCCCCTTAAATACAACAGGGTGAACAAAATGCATGGCTCCTGAAGTGTGTGTGTGCGCGCGCGCACACACACACACACACACACACACACACACACAGGAAATCTCAAGGTACTAGGTACCAGGGAGAGACTGTACCCTCTTTGTTCCCATCTCCTAGGAAACCCCCATTTCAGGTGTCAATATCGCATGCTCTCTTAACCCTCCTCCCTCCACCACATCAGGGAAGAATCTGATATCAGTAATTTATATTCCAAGGATTGATTGATTATTCTCCAACTGGAGCTCAGCCAAGCGTTTGCATTTTATGCCTTTTATCCCTAATTGTGGCATGAAAGACTTTTTCCCTTGTTAAAGGAATTGGAGACATCAGCAAGAAGGTGGGAGGCTCTGGGGGAGGGGGAGGGGAAGCCTGAAATCACATTAACCAGATTCTGCTGGTTCTGAAGGTGAATTTGAGTTTGCCCTTTTCAAGTTCCTTTTATTCTGATGGAGATGGAGTGAAGGGAGAGAGACAGACTCATGGGTTCTGAGTCCCGGATAGAGATGAGGAGAAGACAGGCATCTATGGAGGCTAGTAAAATCCAAGCCATAGAAATGTTGAAAGAAAGATAATCTGGTCAGTTATTTTTGGGGACCCAATGAAGCCGACCTGACAAGGAGGTCCATTCCTGTCCTGCCCTGCAGTGCCCACTGACACCCACTCTGCTCTGAACCCTGCCATGCAGTCTCCTCCAGCCTCATCGGATCCCTACTCTTTCCCTCTTACCCAGAACATCAGGAGGACTTCCAGTTGACATCATTCTGCTTTTAAAAAGTGTTCATCCCTCAATCCTCCTCACCTGGCACCCTAGAAATTATCTCTAGACATCACTTATTAGTTGTATCTCTATACACAGTATTTCCAAAGACCAAAATATGCTTTTGTAATGTTCTGTGTTAACACAGGCGTGGCAGGCCTGAAATGTTTAAAGAAAGGGGGAAATGAAGAGACATGTAAGAAACAGAAGAGGAGCCCTGAGAACAAACTGATGCAAATTATCAAAACCATGACAGCTCAAAGAGCAAATTGAGTGGAAAAACCAACAGGGGTGAACCAAGAGGGATGAGAAGAGCAGAATGCCCCAGATCTTGCCTACCCCAATCCCTACTGCCTGGAGGCATAATTTTGATAAACAGGCTCTGGGTTATAACAGAGAGAAAGCAGACTCTCTGAGATGATACTGAATGATTGCAGAGGGAGTGGCTGGGAATGGCATTGGGGCAGAACTCCTACAGCCAACCAGAACCAAGTAGCCAGACCCAAGCAATAGAATGGATTGAAGTGAGCGATAGGGAAGCCAAACCTGGTGTCACAGAAGCCTGAGCGACAGGTAGTCATTCTGTAATAGAAGTGGCTGGCTCAGCATGGCCAGGTCCAGGGAGGTCTGGAGTCAGTCCTCTGGCCTGGGGACAGAAGATAGGAAAAGCATGAGCCTCTGAGGGTTGTTGGAAACTGGGCTTGGAACATGGACAAGTGTGTAATGGGAAGGTGAACTAGTACCACTTGCCCCAGAAATGTCCCTGGAAGTTCATGTTTTCCCTGTGACACCCCCATTCTCCCCACTTCTCTTTTCCCGCTCTCCCAATTCTCCTGATACACTGACCCAAATTCTCACTTAGGACAGAGAATGAAAGGCTCTGTTCCCAAGTCATCATGCTGGAAGCAAATGGCCTCTTGCACATTGGTATTAAAATTTGAATATGGGAAAGAAAAAGAGAGTGGAGAGGGAAGTAGCTAAATTAGCAATGCTCACTCAGCGTGGTTTTGCTTTAATCCAGGCCTGTGAGCTTGACAGGGCTCAGAATAAACGAAAGCAGATGTGTCCATCACGCCAGCGGATATATTGCTACTAATCCCAGACAAGACAGCAAAAACACATCATGCCTGGGCCCCACACTGTGTCGGTCTTAATCCGCCTCTAATTGCGCTGGGCACAATGCCTGCACACCTCTGTCCTCTGAGTTCCATGGTGTCTGCTCCCTCATGAAGTTGACCTCAGCCAAAGCAGCTCTTTTGGCTGGGGCAGAGTTAGAGCTGAGTTTGAACAGCCCCAGGCAGGGGGCAAAGAGGGTGATGCTGCCAATGTGGCAGGAAGGGGACTCAGCCAAGTGGCAGGAGTGATCCTGGTGTTGCGGCTCCAAAACTGGTTAGATGAGGAAGTTTGTGTGTGGATGCTTAATATGACTCCTGACACAGTAACACTTCCCAATCCAATTTCTCCCAAAAGCAGTTTTCATTTATTCAAGGCCCGTTCTATCACACACATTTCTTAGTTGATAAACAAAAAAGATAAGTATTGTTTGAGGGAGTGGCTACTTCGTATGAAATGGGGGGGGGGAGTTGTCAGAGTCACTCATCCCAGAATTGTCCCGGAAGTCATCACTTTCTCTATGACACCGAAGTCCTCTTTCCTTTCCATTTTCCTTCCCATCCCCGAATATATACAGTGGATACACTGGCCCAAATTCTCACTCAGGACAGAGGAATCAGAGGCACTGTTCCCGTGTCATCTGAGAGGAAAGAAATTTATAGTAAAAAGGAGAGTCGCAAAAGCCAGGCTTGTAATCCAAATACTTAGGGATGCTAAGACAGGAGGATCACAACTTTAAGTTCAGACTGAACAACAACATAGAGAGAGTTCAAGGCCAGCCTTGACAGTTCAGTGAGATGCTGTCTCAAAAATGAAAGAAAAATAAGAATATTTACCTATATGTATGCTTTTAACAGTGCAGAAATGCATTCCATAATATAATACTAGCATAGATTCCGTATAATCATTTAACTGTGTATATACATGTGTACATCTGTGTGTATAAAGACACATTGCAAACACATCTATGTCTATTTCTATGCATGTGTATGTGTATTTCATGATCATTGATATCATGTAATAGACACAACTCTGCTACATCTCCAAAGCTTGATGTCCATCTGGCTTGGTGGCAGACCTTCATAATCCTAGCACTGGGAAGCAGAGGAAGGAGGGGTGCAAAACCAAGGCGAGTGTGGGTACACAGACTGTCATAAAACATTTTTTTTGCTGTTGTCTTAGCTAGGGTTTCTGTTGTTGTGAAGAGACACCATGACCACAGAAACTCTTATAAATGAAAAACATTTAATTGGGATGGCTTGTATTTTCAGAGGTTTGTTCCAGTATCATCATGGTGTGACAATTTGGTATGCAGGCAGACATGGTGCAGGAGAAGGAGCTGAGAGTCCTACATCTTGATCCACAGGCGACAGGAAGTGGCAACACTAAGCCAAGCTTGAGCAAGGGAGACCTCAAAGCCCACCCCCACAGTGACACACTTCCTCCAACAAGGCCACACCTACTCTAACAAAGCCACACCTCCTAAAATACCACTCCCTATGAGCTTATGGGGGCCAATTACATTCAAGTTCCCACAACTGTCATCATGGTTCTATAACAGCACCCATACATCTATTTCTGTCTGCTAACTACCATATACTACTCCGTTGAATCAATTTAGCATTATTTTTTATTTGTAATCGTGGTCCAAATTCCACACCTGTGGACGAGATGATATAAAATAAATAGTGACTCTTTGTTTTCCAACTCATTAACCTGTACTTCAATTCTCCCTTGGTTTGTTAATACAAAACATTATCTTGTTGAGTGCTAGCAAACTTACTTCGGGCTATTGGTTCAGTTAGCTGAAGCTTCTGCCTTTGAAGAGCATCTCTCAGGGTGTCCCCTGTCCTCTGTGGTTCCCATAGCATCACTACTATCATGGAACCTCTGGCTGTGGCTGACCCTGAATCTATACCCTGCGGGATGAGCCTAGTTTCCCTGAGTGTGAGAATCCACTGTCTTCCTACTCAGAGAAGAAAAGGTGTCCATAGCCTTCCGGTTCTTCACCCTTTGGGGCTCTCACATCTGGCTCAGCCCTGCTGTCTGCCTAGCTGGCTGTGCTGTGTCAGATAGCTTTCCTCTGATGTTGCAAGCTACCTCCATCTTGAGCCACCTAGAGCTTTCCTGTGAGTATTTACTGCCAATCAGCTGCCTGGGACCTCCTGTTCTCATCAGTTAGAAATTGCGACCAGGTGAAGAGTGGTGTCTGGGCGCCAACAGGCAGTTAGTTTAGTGCTCTGGAGTGCTAAGGGAGAGAGAATGAGACTAAAATTCAGAGGTTGGCAGTTCTGGATCTGGGTCTAAAGGCCAGAAACAGGTCTTGGGGCTCAGTTCTGAGGTTCAGTGCTCAGAGCCTCACTGTCAGTGGCTCTGTTCTGAGTGACTGGTGGTCCGTGTGATGGGAAGCAGCAGCAGTAATTGGTCAGTTATGGCTCTCAAGCCCTCCCAGGACCTTCGTTTCTTACCAGCGGAATCTTGGTGCATGCATGTCAGGACCCTTGGCTCCTTGAGCTTAGCAGCTTCCTGGAACTCTTTCAGGGGTCTGGGCCTATGGCCTGTCACCTTCAATTCTCCACAGCATTCTACAGTCTTGACCTTCTACCTCTCTTCACTGACCTTCATGGTTTCATGTGCCTGTGGTCCCCAGGTGTTTACTCATGGTCACTCTCTGGATTCTCCACAGGCCTTCTTGGCGATGTGGTAACTGTCCTCTTGTGGTACCAGCTCAGCCTGATCCACCCACAGCGCACAGATCACAACCAGGTGAGAACAGCCTAGACCCAGGGCCACAGACAACGGGGATGACGCAGGTGAATGACACAGAGCACAAGATGGCTCAGTGGCTAGAAACGCTTACCACAGGGGCTGACACCCTGAGTTCAATCCCAAGGGTCTTCATACGCATTCATCACTCAAACAAAATAAATATACATTTTTTTAGATTTTTTAATTAAATTAGAAACAAGGTTGCTTCACGTGTCAATCCCAACTCCCTCTCCCTCCCCTTCTACCCCTGCCCTCTCACCAACCGCCCCAACCCCTGACTCAGTCCCCACTCTGTTCCCCAGGGAGGGTGAGGCCCTTCATGGGGCGTGTCCAGAGTCTGTCATTTCTTTCAGGGAAGGGCCTAGGCCCTACCCCAAGAGTCCAGGCTAAGAGAGCATCTCTCATTGTGGGATGGGCATCTAAAGTCCATTTGTATGCCAGGGATAATTATTGATCTACTACCCAAGGCCCCATAGATTGCCTAGGCCTCCTCACTGACACCCACATTCAGAGGGTCTGGATCAATCCCATACTGACCTCTTAGCAATCAGTCTGGGGTCCAAGAGCTCCCCCTTGTTCAGGTTTCTGTGGGTTAAACAAGCCCAGTCTTGACCCCTTTGCTAATCAGTCCTCCCTGTCTGTCACTGGGTTCCAGGAGTCAAGCTCAGTGTTTACCTGTGGGTGTCTGCCTCTGCTTCCATCAGTCATTGTTTGGAGGTTCTAGGATGGCTTATAAGGAAGTAATCGAACAAAGTAAGCTAAGTGAACTAATTATATAGCCAGAAAGGGGCATGGCGTGCTTGTGAAGTGCAAATGAGAAATTGTAATTTGTACCAATGAAATCATAGCTTCTAAATCTACCAATCACTAAGACAAATCATAATGTAACAGTGCACCAATTACAAGCCTTCTGCTGGTTCACCAAAGTAAACATTCTCCCCTTGGTCTGAGAGAATAGCTATACACAAACAGGGTCAGCTAGAGCTCATGGGGCCTGTCTTAAATAGATGTCTTCCCAGAGAGGGACAGGTTGTCTGGAGCAGTTGTAACTAAAGCAAGGCTTCCTGAAATAGAGCAATGCAGCAGTGGCCCCCTGAAGCTGCTGGAGCATTTGTAGAGTCATCAAGAGGTTTCCAAAGTGGCCAGGCTGACAAAGAAGGAGATGCTTGGACATTGGTCTCCAGCTGATGCCTATTAGGAATAAGGGCAGGGTGTATCAACTGCTGGTAAAGGGATTAAATGGCCCACTCTCAAGACAAAGAAGTACTGAAGCCTATTTACAGTGAAGATTGATCTTGAACATTAACATTATTAAGATAGGAAACATGGTGCTTCTGAGATGGCTCTCTTTTGATAAGGATAATTCTTAATTTTAATTCAGTCTGATATGTCAATCTTCTTTTTATGTTTAGTACTTTACTGCCTTATGTAAAAAGTCTTTGGCCTAAAGTACTGTTCAGAAAGTCATGACCAATGAAATAGATAGGACTCCAATTTCTCTGTCAACAAAAGCTGTGACCTGAATATGCTTCTTTGGTTCCTTACTTTGAGGAGAAAGCATCCAGTCTATTATTATTCAAGTGTAGTAATAACTGTAGGGCTGTCTGTAAACCCTCTTAATTAAGGAATTTCCCTCCTATTGCTAATTTGTTGAGAAGTTTGTCTTATGTAACCATGGGCAAATACTGAATTCTGTTAATTTTTTCTTTGGTATTGACAGAATTCTTTTCATGAAATAGTTAATTACACTTATTAATC